ATTTTACAGCCGTTATAATGTACGCCCTTGAAATGCCCAGACGTTGATGTGGGTATTCCAGTTTTTAACGCCTCGTTTCCTCAGGGCTACTTCTGGGGCCACGGAAATTGAGTAACAGTAATTAACAACCGCAGGGTAACAGTCCTGACCATCTCCTCTGGGACCAAGAAAAGATGGGGGAGCCAGGCACAAAGGGGGCCTGAGTGGTGCCAGGGTTCTTTGCGACCGCCCTCTGCCAGGGCTAATGGGTCCAGTCACCGCCAATCACCCTCCTCCAATCTCAAAGGCCATTTCCAACAGTGGAGAGGGTGCAAGTGCGAGTTACCAGAAAAGAAGCGAGCTAATGACATGCTAATAATGACACCGGGGCAGAAAGCAATCTCAAAATCAGCGCTTGGCAGATAATGAGGCAAAGCAGCCATTCCTGGCCCAGTGACCATGTCTAATGACACTCGGGAACCGTGAATGGCAAGGTAACTTTTGCAGCAGAGTGAGCATTTTCTCTGTGGAAATGCTACAGAGTTGTTAAAACATCAGTTCAGATTACACTAAACGAAAACTAGGGCTGTCACTTTCGACTATACTGGTAATCTACAATTATTTTGATGAATAATCAGAGTAATTAGATGCCAAAGGCCAACATTTCAAAACACATTATAGGAAAAACAGATAAATTAGAAAGTCTTTTTAAAAAAAATCCATTAAAAAATTATCAATGGGAGTGGTTGTCTCAGTGAAAAGCACTATCTGTGATTGCAGTCGAAATTATTCACAAAAACAATCAATCTGCGGCCTCTACAACTGCATGAAAAGCAAAGCCTATAGGGTATTTGTTAGATTATAAACTGAAGTATCAAAGACCTCCAGGCATTGTTTTGAAATGATCTTTTTGTTGTTACTATGCTGATTACATTTTAGGGAATGAACATATTCGCAGGGTTCACACCACACAGTGGAGTAACTGAATTTCCTTCTGATGGAGTACTTTGGTGCACTTCTGTAACAGATTAGTCGATTACTGAAATAATCAGCCCTAACCATGGATCATGAGCCGCTGTGAACTGCTTCACTTCACTGACAGGCATCTTTCACTGGTTAGATGGGCGAAAAGTAATGAGCGACAGGGAAAATGGAAAGGAAAATTAGGCTCGCTGAAGCTCGGCACCATCGATGCGTATCAATTAACTTTGACTCCACCTGATCACACAGACAAATATAGCCACCGTGCTGTCAATCCACCCACAGTAAAAACCTGTTTCATGGTTAAATTCACCGATTTTCTCTAGCCAGTGAAAGTAGCACCAGGGAGGACTTTTTGACCGTGTGACTGCAATCCTCTGATCTGGCAGAGCAAAGCCTACCTGCTCCGAGCCTCCAGAGTGAATGAAGTTCTGCAGTGCTGACATCCTGCCAGCTGACCTTCAGAATGACCCTAATATCTGAACTCTAACAACGGATAAGGTCACTTTTCCAAAACCTGTTTCATGCTTAGATAAGCTAAATATGCTCCACATGTAGGTCATGACAAGGGCTTGACCAATGTAAATCCTTTAAGGAGCTAAAAATTCTGATTCTGATCGACTGATATAATAATATTAAAGCTGCAAAAAATGAATATTTTGATATTTGAGAATTCGTATGCAATCTAATAAGCAATCGGCTTAAATGCAAAGAGCTGTAGGAGTAAGTGATAATAAACATGCAGATTAATGTTATAGCTCTTCAGGCTGAAGCATCAATTAACCAGTTTGCCATTTTAACATGCTAGTTCCAGGTAAGCGGATGAATATTCCAGTTACTAACATTGAGTTTTAGTGATTTTTGTAAGGGTAACTTTAGCTCACTCTGACAAATCACTTATAGTGTGAACTGAATGTCCTCAAGTAGTAGTTCGGTTTGTTCAAGAACCAGCATGGAGAAAAAGCTACCATTTATTGACCATTGTGATGCTTCAGAATGAACACCAGTTTTCATTTCCGCTGGTCGAAGGTAACGTTGTGCTTCTGTGGAAAGCTAATACAGACTTGCATATGTTGTTTGTGACCATCCTTCAATTTAAGAAAATGCTCCCAGACTTTTTTTAAATTTCAGCCATAACATACTAAATAAAAAACTTCACAGACTTCTGCTTGAGTACTGGACTTACTGGGGCCGACCCTATATATATATAATGAATATAGCAGGGCCGGGGATGAGGCTTCCAGGCCTTCTTGGCCGTTTTTTTTTCCGCTTCCATAAATTAGTTCTTTTTTTTTAGCAGTTTTTTTTCCAGACTAAGCTTTCTTTGTACTGTAACATTTTTCAGTAACACTAAAGGTTAGGTCTGGATGAACTGTAAACAATGATGAGCCATGGTGGATGGTGGACAGGGGTAACGCAGGGGTTACAGCTCCGCAGCAGGGTGCGATGCACTGTGTATTGTGACATATTCTTCCTATAACCATCTATAAAAACTTCTTTCTTCTGTCAGTTTGGACCAGACAGGATAGCCATCACTGCCCTCACGCATAGATGAGCCTTAGGTGCCTGAAACCCAATGCCCAAAAAACATCAGTTCATCCTCTATTGCTGTAATAAAGATGAGAAGTTAGTGACCATTAAATTATTAGTATAATAGAGATAAAAGAGTCTAGAACCATTCAAATTCCCAGAAATTAGTGATTTATTGATTGCTCTATTGGTCAAGATCTATTCATGACAACAGATGAAGTCTGGGAGAACGGCTACCGTAGTTCTGCAGCGCTTAAGAAGTCTGTCTTTGCTTTGTCCTGTTCTTTATAAAACGGGAGAAGGACAAGAACATTAGTGCAGTCTAAACACACTCTGCAGAAAATGCCATACATAAACCAGAGACATCTCCTCCACCATCTATGGTTATTTTCCCCTCTGTGTTTACCTCGCCCTGTGAGTCACCACAAACGCACTAATCTATTGCAGTCACTGAAACTCCGCCAGTCAGGCCAGACAGTAGCTCAGGCAGCCAACAGAGATGGCAGCTGCTTAGCTGGTCCCTCCCTAGCCGGGGCAAAACAGGAAGAATTAGTTATTTTGCTTGGTGAAAGGTGTGGTGAGGTGTTAGCCCTGGAGGGGGGAGATAATCCCTGTAATAATGCTTCTCAGCATGAGAAACCCAACACATAGATATACACAAGAATGATTCACATGAGGTAAATCTAGCATCCTAAATGTGCCTCTCTAGCATCATATTCATGCAGAGATGACAGAGGAGGCCCAGTACACTCAGGAACTTTGCAATTAAACAGCAACATAATCTGGAGTCAGAGATTAGAGGACAAATAACATGTGATTAGCTAAGTACACAAACACAGAGATGCACTCTGTAATTCATGCGATATTTTCAGAAGCTACATGACAGTAACATCACAGCAAACAGCAGTCACAAGGTGTTCCCTTTACTACCATTCCGAAAACATTTATGGGGCTATAAAATGATGTCAGAGCTTTTGGCCTACAGGGAAAGTTAACCTATTTCAGCCCAGATGCCGAATACTAAATGATAACCATTACCTCCTCATGTTATCCACCAACCAGCAACATAACTAAAGGCAAAATTATGTATAGGGTTGTGCCAATCTAGTTTCTTGCCAGTCCTTTATTGCAGCAGTTCTCAAACTGGGGGCCACAGAACGGTGCTAAATAGGTCATAAAATTTCCAGAAGTCATTTTGTCAAATTTATTAAATCTGCTTCGTCCATATCTAAAAATACGGTAGATAAAAATAGATGTCATTAAACATTAATAAAATTTAATATAAGTGCCAACCAGTTACAACTTGAGGCCATCCAGCGCCCACTTAAGTTATTTGTAACAGACTTCTGAAGTCGTGCATTGTTCTGTAGTCAGCATTGTGCCCATATTAACATCTACAAGGTCTAAGCTGGATTTCTGTATGGCAAAAATGAACGGGGCTTACGTACCTATGGTACACAAAAAGGTTTTAAATCTGATACATTTTGTATGACGTTCTTTTTTTTTTACTTGCTATTCACAAAGGGGGCTTTAGACTAGGGGCCTTAGAACTGCTGCTTTGTTACTATGTATTCTGTTATTGAGCATTTGCTCATACACGGTCAGAAAAAAATGACACTGTACAAAGACACACTGTACTGAGTCAATGCAGCTTAGAAAAATAATGTGGTATATGGTACAAATATGTTCCACTAAAGGTACTAAGGTGACAGCATTTGTGCTCTGAAAGGTACAAAGGGTCATTCCAACAAAGTGGAAGCACACATGATCAATTGTTTGAAGATTTAGACCAACTGATTAAACAAACAGAATCAGGTGTGCTCCTGCATGTTTAAAATGAAAGCCTTCAGCAACACTGGCCCTTCGAAGGAAAATACTGGACACACCTGTTTTAGTAAACTTTTCTAAGAATGTACTGAGTACCGATCCAATATTTGATCAGAGAGTTGGTAAAACCAATCCAATTAAGATACAACATACTAGCAGCCTACTACTTTAAAATGCTTGTTTTTTTGGACTGTTTTTTAGAGCTGACCACTTTATCGTGTTTAGAGAACCCTGTTGCTGTATTTCAAGTTGCTCTAATGAGCAAAGTAGCCTGTTTCTTTTTCTCAGCATGTATAACAGCCACACACTCACATCCTACACAAAACTATTTTTTTAACTGTGTTTTGATGTAAGATGGCTAGCTTAACAGAGATCAAAACACTTTACCACTTTATAAAGTTTCATACTGCAGACATTTAAAACTGCTTTCTAACTTCTGAGATTTGTCTCACTCCCGCAAGTGTAGAATAATTTAGTTAATAATTCAGTTTACGTCATCTCTACAACACCAGCATAAATAGAGCACAATGGAGTACAAACAGCCTTAGTAGAAGACCAGAATGTAGTCATGCATAGTCAATACCAATAGACGAACAATTTGCCCTGAATGGCTAACACCCATCCTTCACACCAGAGGGGAAATGCCAATTACACAGTTAAAGAAGTTCAGCTGCTTGTCTTACCTTGGCTTTACCGGTGCTTTGGAGGATGTGCACCAGGGCGCAGGCAATTTCCTCCTTGTTCTTGACACTGATGGCTGGTTCCAGGATGGAGCAGAGCAGCATGTAGTTGTTAGTGGTGTATTCAGCAAACTCTTTGTACAGCTCCATGGGCAGGATGTTCATGCTCTGGTAGCGGGCCTTAATGCGGATCATGGGGCCCGCCGTCTTCCCTTTGCCTGGGTTTGGTGTGCTAACGGGGTACCACTTCTCAACCAGCTGCCTGCTAGTCACAGTCTCTACTGGGATGTTCACCAATCCCACATAATTGTTCTTGTCCTTTTTCTTCTTCTTGTCCGAGTCTCTGTAGACGTGAACGGTGATGTTTTGGACAGCAGGGAGGTTGGTGAACTCAAAGTGCTCGCCCCAGAAGACATTGTCTGCCTTGAGCTTGCAGGTGGTGCGGGCGTATAGGGCGTCGTCCAGGCACAGCTCGCAGAAGTACTTTTTCTTGGCCGGCAGGTCTTTCGCTTCGATGACCCACAGCCGGAGTGTGTTCTCCACCCGCCTACTGTTGTCCTGGAAACAGGAGAGGAACAGCAGTGAGGTCGCTGGACCAGTTAGCATGAGGATAGGGCAGTAAAAGATTATTACTGTATGAGTATGACATCTAAAACGGCTACCGATGCAGATACGGCTGGCTGTTTGACCTGGCAATTAAATAACCTTCCGTTTCAGGTCAGCTACTCCTGCCTGGCAATTAAGATGGTTTCTGTTGTAGATCGCTTCATGTGCTCTGCTACAGAGGCTGGGGGAAGGAGTCATAAATATCACATGACATCATTTGGCAGTTAAAGTCATTCACTGCTGCATGGTGAGACAGACTGCTCCAATAGAAAAAGGAGGCTGTCATTCCAGCATGAGGCCAAGTGGTTTAATCTGTGATGGACCTCAAAGCCAACCTCACAGCAGGGGTGAGCAGTATAATTACATTTATTGTTATCTTGATACATTACGTCATATTATATCCTTTCTGAGCATATCGTGGACACCGCTTTAAGAAAAGTGACCAACAAAGAACACATAGCTAGGCACAGTTAACTGCATTTACTGAAAAAATTATTTTACTTTGTGTTTATTTATGGCACTAATATATTTTTATCAAGTCACACTGTTGGGTCTCCTGACAAAACCGGTTATTTCCAGCTATCAAAATCGCAAATTTAAGAGAGCGCAGTTTTCAAATTGCAAGAGCTGCAATTTTGTAAAAATTATAGCCAACATTGTCAGCAATGTTGTCTTAAGTTTTAACTTTAAAATGTAACTTTATAACTCAGAGCTTATAAACTGCCTGGAAATAAGGTAGACAAAACATCCATGTGTTGTGACATCACAACTACAGCTTACTGGCAGTCTGGCAGACTACACTCAGGGGTCGAGCCTCAGAAAAAGACTGATATTCTGGTCTTCTTGGCAAAAAAACAGGCCTGGACCTCAATTTATAGAAAATAATGACAATGTAAATTGCAGTTTCAATTTTAGTCAGAAAAATCGCAATTAGATATTTTTTTCCAAATTGTCCAGCCCTACCTTCAGCACACAACGCTGGACAGTGCCACTATGCTGGACAGGTTACAGTCACAGTGATGTTGGAACCATTTATTGTATACGTTATATACAGAATACATTGGTTGGAGCATGCAGCCACTGTTGCTTTCATTCAACATAGTGATGAAAATTAGAAACTTCATTCACCCTGGAAATGATGTGATTTTCATGTTCGGGTTCATGTGAACTCTGCATTGACATTGTGAAAAGTAGTAAATACATGAATATGATGAAGCTTATTTTGTTCACTCATACAGCCACACAAAATGCTCTGCTTCTTAGCCCTCAGAACACCAAGCCAGTCCTGAGTGTGCTTTGCTACCTTAATATTTAAGCTCACAGTGGATCCATTTCTGACTGTAAATGTTGCAGGTCTACGGAATCTGCAGAATCTAAACTAGATGTAGGGATCATTTACACCTCTCTGGGATACAGTATAACACACTGTTTCATTATTCACTATATAAATGAAAACAACACAAAAAAGAAGCTTTTTTTATATTTCTTTAAAAATGAACACATCAAAGAGTGAAATCAAAACACAACGCATATAAGTGTCAACAGGTCTTATGAAGCTTTGGGAAAAAAACAAAAAACGGAAGCCTGCACGTTTTTCCAGGTAACAATGTAAATGTATTGGCTTGGTCTTCACAGCTTCACAGGCGATTTTTATAATGGTCTACAGTGGGCACTGGAAGTTTCTCCCCTCTGCAGTCTTCTTCAGAATAACTTGTACAATTAGGCAGTTTGAAAACGAGGATCTACAGCTTTGGTATTCCCATCGAATACTGGAACCAAAGTAATGACACTGATGAAGTGAAATGCAAGATTCATTAGCTTGTGCAGTTAAACGCTGAAAACCAAAGAAAATGCATGTTTTAATGAGCCTATGTAGACTAGTTTTGCTTAGAACACAAAGTTAGCCAGTAGAGAAGATCATTCAGCACTCGTCTTTTCTGCTGACATCTCAAGAATCTAACACATTTTACCAAATCTCTCTATGTCACACCATCAACTTTTGGCAATCATTTTATTACAGTGATACGGGTTCTAAGTGTTAAATATTTCTTTAGGGTCAAAGTTTAAGCAAATAAGACGCTTTAATGCAATTAATTGCAATAAAAACAGAAAATAATGTGATTATTAGTGATTAATTTTAATCGTTTGACAGCCCTACTTTTTTAAAATGTGGCACTACTGGTTCGTTTTGTCTTCTCTTACCAAACCTAACTTATAAACAAATTAAGATGCTGCGTATTGTGTATCATGAAAATATCTTTAAGTATGTCAATGTTATATTTTTGTCATATCACCCATTCCTACCACCCCTACCACCCATACCGTACTTCTACTGTCGGTAGATTTGTGACAGAACTAATAAATATTTATATCTTTTTATCACTTGAAAGATATGGTAAGTTTAGTATCCAAGTAAGGGTCAAATCTTATTATATCCTGGACAAGACTGAAATATCTACTAGATCAGGGGTGCACAACTACAGTCCTGGCGGGCTGGGGTCCAGTACAGGTTGGTGAGTTACCTTCCCAAACACACCTGTCAACTCATCTGTTGATTGCCAGGTTTAGTGGGTGTGTTTAAGCAGGTAACTCACCAAACTGTGCTGGACACCGGCCTGCCAGGACTGGAGTTGTGCACCCCTGATCTAGATTAAAGAACAGACAGCAGTTACTGCATTAAGAGCATTTGTTATCTTTGTTCTTGATTTGCTTGCAGAAAAATGTGCCCACAAGCCGCCACACATACATACAAAGAAACAAAAACAGGGCGTGGAAGTCCCCAGTTTTGTAATCTGCCTTTAGTTATTGCATTACAACACTCACCGCACTAATTATACAGAGAGAAGCAGCCTCCTCTTCCAGTTCCTAATGGATGAACTGTAATATTCTCCTTTCAACAAAACTACCAGCATCTGCCGGTGAGTACCGTTTGTTTACTGTTGAGCATTCTAAAACCTGAAGGTAGCGCAGAGCCGGGAAACCTATCAGGTAATTAAAATTTACAACTGAATGATGGAGGGATCTCCACCACATCCTGAGACAAGCTGTCAAAGAGGTAAAGAAACCATTGGATACGACCAGCTCTTTTTTTTTAAAGAACTAATTAGTTGTTAATTTGTTAAATAATAAAAGATGAGGGTGGGGTGAGCTGTCTTACTGCCATCATTTCTTGGCGTGCTTTAAGGAGCCATATGTTTTGTGGCTCCCATGTCTGAGCAATGGTTTAATTAAAGAGCAGACCCGTCCTCATTTCGAGTACTCAGAAGAACTTCTCACCATCTTTCCCAGTGCTTTCTGTATATCCTGATGAAACAGATGTCTTATTAAGCGATCAAACCCAGGATGTGTCCAGGTGTGTCAGGTGTGACCTCCACCAGTAAGTCAGTAAGTGTAAGAGGTAACCCCAGCTAAATGCAGGTGACTTTACCTTATTTGGGTGGACAGCTCGTCTAAGGTTCTCCATCCATTTGTCCCTTTCGGCGGCTGAGCGACATGAGAAGCACTTGCTGCCTGTTGAGGTGATCACCTGCAGGGCAATGTATGGCTATCAGTCCTTTTCTTGGTCTCATTATCACTCAGGTCATTCAATTATGAAAATATAAAAGACAAGCAAGTACAGCTGCATGCAAACATTAAAATGATTTGTTGATTTTCTAAGTAAAAGTTAACTCAAGGGAACAAACTTAAACATGATACATTTTCTGAACATTTTATTGCACAATTTCTATAGTTTAACATTTTGGGAAAAAAACATATCATAAAATATAAAATGTGCTAAAATATATGCACAGGCTAAATTTTATGTTTTATTTTTCCCCCCAATTCATTAAATTCAGCAAATAAACAGTAACTGTGCATTAATATGTGCAAACGTGTGTTCTTTGTAGAGGATGTCCATTTATTTTCACTTAACAAAACATGGAATATGACAAGGGTGCCCAAACTTTTGCCCTCCACTGGATTTGTTATGCTTCCTATCTCTCCGCCTCCTTGAGGATTCTGAGTTAACAGCTGCTGGTCAACATGACATAATCATGGATAAGTTGACCAGGCAGAGACCGTATAATTAGCCAGGCTAGTAATAAAGCTAGCTAAGTCACCAATAGCATGTAGAATTGTGTTTAGCGAGCCAAGTCAGCCACCTACAAGAGTGTCTACCAAGCTAGCCCGACATTACTTACTCACTTAAGTTTACGCAGAGGTACACAGCATGTGACTTAAATCTTACACTACTTGATGAACAGACAACTCATTTACACTCTAATTATCAAAATGACACATGATAAAATACCAGACTGTGTTTTTGTCCCATTTGTCAGTAGTTTCATTGCCGTTGCACTTTAATCAGAATGTTCTTTTCAACAATGTGGCATGTCTCACCTACTGTGTACGTGTAGAGGTAACAGGGGTCGACTGTTATGTGTTTCTCATGGCTGATACCGATAATTAGTTAAGAAGAAGGCTGTTAACTTTTAAACTGTAATCGCACAGTGTAAGTGTAAATATAAGGATTATAAAATAAACTTTAAATATATATTTGAAACACCATTTTCTCTTTTTTCCATAGTAAGTTTACTCTTACCAAACAAATGTGATGTTTAGGGCCGGTTTCCAGCTGCATGCTTTAGTCCCGCTTGTTTGGGTACAGCGGACAGTGGAAAACTGCACGTTATGTTATCGAGTGAGTTGCCCTTTTTGCACAGCGACTGCGCTGATCAATCTCAGAATGTCCTACATGTATCCCATTTCTTGTGCTACCCACATCTCTAGTAAACCAGAGCCAATGGGGCAAAGACACTTTCATTTTGCTTGACATGTGGTCCAGGTTTCAAACTATCCATAACGCTGTGGGTGGCATACAGGCTATTCAAGTTTTGACTGGCCGTACTCAACAAATCATACCTATTTACACAAATCCCAAGGCCATGGGTGGGATATTGAGCCAGAGGCAAATCTTTCACTTATGATTGCATTAGATATGCATATAGCTCACATATAAGCTTGTTATCGGAAAGCAAACAAGTTAAAAAGCTGATTCCGATGATCAGTGAATTGCGAAATATTGGATCTGATTATCGTCTGGCCTGATAATTGGTCAACCTCTAGTTGATTATGTACTTACATTAGATGTAAGACTGGAGTACACAGCACATTATGAAAGGATTAGTCACGTCAGCAACATTTAGTGTTATAATAGACACCTTATTTTTGATGCAAGCCCAATAAACTAATCCCAACAAACCCAATAAATGGATGATGGCAGAGTGGTGCAATCCTATAAAACTAATTTATACACATAAAAACAGTTGCAGTGGCATTAAGCCTACATGGGTGTGTGTGGGTGTCTACCTCAAAAGCAGTAGTCCTGGCCCAGGATGGAGCTGTGTACGGGCTTGATAAAGACCTCTTCCTCCATACTGAGGTCCAGAGCTTCCACTGCACTACTCGGACTAAGCAATGACTCGTGAGAGCGTGACTCTTTCAGTCTCGGCATCAGATGAGATCTGAGATTGAAACAGAGAGAGAGAGAAACACAGCAATGAATGACCACAAGGTGGACCACAGATACACAAACATTACCTTCAAACCAAAATAATGTGAACAAGAGGAAGTCAGCAGTTTGCATAATGCTAACCTTGCAGCTATAAGCCTCTATCACTTATTAAAACATGCAAAACTAAAGAAAGCAAACTTCAGACCAAACATGTCTTGGCTAATCAACTACATCTGGGATAAGGGGGAAACTGTGTGAAATGGATTTTTGGTCTATCTCTTGAAATGTAGCTAACCCAAGGAGAAAATAACCAGCATACCGAATATATGTATGAAGCAACACCTAAAATAAATGTGAAGAAAGGATAATCATTTTACAGAGAAAATTGTTCCCATTACCTGGTGCAGCCATCAAGAACTTAGATTACCTTTCCACAGTCCTAATTAACTATTTATGAGTCCAGCTAAATGTAATTCTCTACTGAGACAGCACAGCTGTGCAAGCTGGAACTTAATGAACACGGTGATAGATGTGACTGTCACTTTAGAATTTATGTTCAAGAAAGAGAAGGGTAAATGAGTTCCTAATCAGAGATATTTGAAAGCATATGATGTATACACATATGTTCACCAGGCTCTACACAGACTGCACTGAAAGAGCACAAAGCTTTATCTGCCTTACATCACTATTTTGAGCGAAACAAATTATGACACTCATTCAACTTTTATTTTGTACTTATTTAGTTTAAGTAAGTACTTTAAGACTCCCCCTATTTCTCACAAGAACAACACCACATGGCCACTTACTGAGTTCAGGTGTTTCAACCACACCCATTGCTAACAGGTGTATAAAATAAAGCACATAACATGCAATCTCCATACACAAACACCGGGAGTAGTATGGGTCGTATTGAGGAGCTCAGTTACTTTAAACATTGCACTGTCATATGATGCCACCTTTGCCACAAGTCAGTTCATGAAACTTCTGCCCTGCTAGGTCTGCCCCGGTCAACTGTAAGCATTATCATTATGAAATGAAAGAGTCCAGTAGCAAGTACAGCTCGGCTACAAAGCGGTACACTATGTAAACTCACAGAGTGGGACCGCCAAGTGCTGAAGTGTGCAATATGTAAAAGTTGCCCATCCTCACAGGAACTGTGTGTTGGGAGCTTCGTTAAATGCGTTTCCATGGCCGAGAAGATGCACACCAGCCTAAGATCACTATGCATTATACCAGGCCTCAGCTGGAGTGGTGTAAAGTATGCTGCCACTGAGCAATGGAAACGTTCTCTGGAGAAATTAACCATACTTCACTATCTGGCAGTCTGATGGATGAATCTGGGTTTGGCGGATGCCAGGAGAACGCTACCTACCAGAATGCTTAGTTAAGTTTGGTGTAGGAGGGATAATGGTCCTAGGCTGTTATTCAGGGTTTAAGCTAGACCCCTTTGTTACAGTGAAGGGTAATGTTAATGTTACAGCATACAAAAGCATTTTTGAAAATTTATGCTTCCAACTTTGTGGCAATGGTTTGGGGCAGGCCCTTTTCTGTTCCAGAATGACTGTGCCCATGTGCACAAAACCAGATCCATAAACAGAGCCCGGACCTCAACCCCACTAAAAAATTTTGGGATGAACTGGAACGTTTATTGTGAATACTCTTTTGACTGAGTGGGCACAAATTCCCACAGACGTACTCCAAAGTCCTGTGGAAAGCCTTTCCAGAAGAGTGGAGGCTGTTACAGCTGCAAAGGAGGGGCAACTCCATATAAATAGCCAAGGTTTTGGAATGGGACGTCTTTTTTTTGCTTTTGGCCACATAATATAGAATTATTACATACTGGTAATATACATGCCACCATATACAATATAATGTCGGCATAATGGGAAGTTAAAACTTCCGCATATATATGCACTATATACACTGCAGCAGAACCTGTGGGCTGCACATTAGTGCATTATTTGTTAGTTTCAGATTATAAAGTCATAAAGCAGCATATTTCAGTTTGACTGTTGTGCAAAATTAAAGCAATGAATAAGTACTTGTATTGTTTACTGCCTGATATTGAATTGATGGTTACCGAAACCTGCTAGGGCTGTGACAAGCTAATTAGTGCTCTCTCCCAACAAATTATCTCTTAATCTAATCTTAGAAACATTCCAAAACATTTCAATATCTATAATAAAATCAAATGTATAAAGTCAGAAAAGAGTATGTGAACAAGTGACTACGGGAATAACAAAGATAGTAAAGAAACCCATTTTTATTAACTATGCATGTGTAGAATATGAACAGAATTCCCTCCATATAATCTGAACACTCTCTCATTGCTCCTGTCACATTAATTCAACGTGATCAGCATTCATAATGTGCTGTAATATTGCTGTAACAAGCATGTCATTGGAGACTCGTGTTATGTGAAATGTTTATGGCTGTAATGTGAGCCATGAGTGGCAAGACTAAATTGCAACAAGATTTCATTTGTTCAGTATTGTGCAGTAAGTGCAATGATTGGTATTCATTTTAGAACTATTGCCTTTTATATTCATAGAGGAATTCATACAGCCAGGCAGTTTGAATATTGCGATAATGTGTTATGAAACACAGTTTAAGCAACGCATTACTGCATTTTGTCAGACAATTACATTGTATTGCATTACATTTACCTATTTATCTGTATCTCACTGCTGCTATAAGAAAACATCATCTCAGACAAGGTAATTTCATATGAGAATAGTAAACCTTCATTTTAATGTGTGATAATGTAACAAGATTTTGTTCCAAGTAATTTTGAGCCATTTCTACTAGTCCATTCATCATGAAATGTTCCCACAAAGTACAGGGCACCTAGCTTTTTCAGCACCTGAGAAAATTACAGGCCAAACTACCCGCTGTTTTTCACCAAGTTTAGAGGTTGCCTCATACATTTAGTCCCATTCAGATACAGGTTTCTGTGATTTTGGTGGATTTTCCAGGCACAATGTGCATCGCTTTGTAATAATTAGCTGTTTGACCGCTGCTTCCTGCCGTATTTAGTCTTGCACGTGTATCCATGTGACACTTTGAAAGTCTTTCAGCTATTTACTTGGTCTGGGTGGTAGAACTTCATCTCTATCCTCTCTAAACTAGGAGAGCATTAGAGAGTCTATTAGAGAAGTGAGATTTCGCAGGCTGATTAAATGCACTCATATTCACATACAGCTAAACAATATCATCAAAGCATTAGTTTATACAACGTCATCAACCTTTCACATGAATAGAGCATGAGCATATGACCACATGTGACACAAACATCCAGGATTGGCAAAACTCGCTTCTCCTGTAGTAATTTTATTGCCGTCCAGATACTGAGTTAATTTTTTTTTTCCAGACATCCCCCTGATCAACTAATCTAATCTGAACAGGGCTATAACTGAACCTTTAAACATGTAGTGTGGTGTGATATCCTACATTAGTACCATATTCATTGTACATAACATATATGAGATTCTTCTGTAAACAGGCTGTTGAGCTGCACTGGTTAAACGCGCTCAGCACTGCAGGAAGATATGCCTGTACAAAAAACCAGTGTACATTTAAGAACACTCTCAGACCACAATCAGGTTAAGCTTAGCGGCTACAGACACCATGGCATTGTGGGACAATTCTGTTTTTTATTACTAGACTGATAATATGAGCACCAGCAATAAACTGCAACTCTTACTCAACTGCATATTTATTATGTTCTTTTATTTGACAAGGATTAATGGAATGGTTCGGTGAAAAATCTAAGTTAAACAATTTTCTCAGAATTCCAGATGTATTCAATCAGCAGATACATGTTTGGAGTCTAAACATTAACAAACACTACAACTCAGTAGTCACTCGAACAGCTAAAATAGTTTTTGAACAAAAACATCACCAAAACTCCTCTCAACTCAATTTTAGTCCCTCTACACTGACCAAACAAGTGAGAGAGGACGCCCAGCTTCCTCACTCTGGGTTTCGTTCAGAGTCGAAACAAATGAACTCATATTTGGTTATTTCCTGCTGGTTATCTCTTACTTACTACTTAATATCTCTAACTTCTGTCTTCAGTTCAATTCAGTTTAAAGAAATAGGAAGGCTCTGTGAAACCGTAGCTGAAGAGAGTTCTTAGACTAATTATGCAGCCTTTAGCTATATGGGTAAGACATGGTGATTTTATCATATTCATAGCTAAGAAATAATAATGAATGAGCTTCATTAGTTGCTGTAGTCAGCTTGCTTCATATTCCTGGCCTTTATTTCTATGTATTCTCATTTTTATTATGTATTTCCAATACTACCCAAACAATGCATATTACAGTTTCAATGCTCATTTGCCATTCAGTCCTGAACTGAGAGCTCTGTGTTGATTTCTAGCCCTTGGCTCTGTTTTCATATTAAAGAGGCAAGACTTATCTTTAAATTAACAGGACTTGTAATTGTCGTATGTAGCTGGTTTTATGATCAAATGTTTTTTTTAAAGCAGTGATCATTAAGCCGCTAACTCTGAAAACTGTCAGCAGTGTTCTAGAATTCTGTTGGGGTCTAAGGGTTAATTCTAAGGTGTACAGACAGGTTGGAAAATGGTCATGTAAAAATAAGGTACGACTGTTTTTGGTACAGCACAGAAACGTTATATGTGGACCCCAGGGGAGGAAAATAAAATGCAAGAAAAAGGATATGGGCCCTTTAAAAAGCAGCGAAGGTCCTACTCTACATGCCTGGCTTGATGGAGAAGAAGACAGAGTCTATTGAGTGGTAGAGCCTCAGATCTACAGCCATCAACACAGAAAACACACACAGTCACACGCGCACAGCTCCTGAACAAAAGCGCATTAAGTAAAGACACATAGCTCTGTTTCACAAGCTCGCTCACACAAACAGATATATATCATCTACCTCTAACTTCTCCAATTCTCTACTTTTTGCCCATCAACTTTACAGTTTCTTGTTTTCTTTCTTTTTGTTTTTTTTTTCCATTCCCCCTCTCTCCCTCCCCTTCCG